GTAGTAGTCGTGGTAATAGCCGTAGCACTAGAAGTCGTAGCAGTAGTAGTAGTCGTAGTGGGAGAAGTAGTTGTAGTACCAGCAGTCGCGGTAATACCAGTAGTCATAGCAAAAGCCGTAGTAGTGGGAATATCAAGTAGTAGTGGTAGTAGTACTGGTAGCAGTCGTATTCGTAGTCGCCATCAACGTTGTAATCGTAGCCGTAGTCGCGGCAGTAGTAGTAGTAGTAGTAGCAGCAGTAGGGCCAGTGGAAGGCGGGGTAGTAGTAGTAGTAGTAGTAGTAGTAGTAGTAGTAGTAGTAGTAGTAGTAGTATGATAGTAGTAAAAGGTGGTGAGTAATTAGTGGTAGAGTAACCCCCCCCCGCAGTAGTAGTAATACTAGTAGTATTAGTTAAGTATGGGTATGGTTATAGTAGAAGTAGTAATTAGTAGTAGTAGTAATTAGTAGTATCAGTATAGTAGAAGTAGTATAAAAAACAAATTAAGTAAGTAAAAGTATCGTAGAAAAATGCGAAAGTTATAGAGTAGTGGTAATAGTAGCAATAGTAGTAGCAGTAGTGGTAGTACTAGTAGTAGTAGTGGTAGTAGTAGTAGTAGGGATACTAGTAGTAGTAGTCGTATTAGTAGCAACAGTAGTAGTCGGAGTGGTAGCCGTAGTAGGAGTAGTCGTAGTCGTAGTAGTAGCAGTCGTAGTCGCTGTAGTAGTAGAAGTAGTCGCAGTCGTCGTAGTCGTAGTCGTAGTGGTCGTAGCAGCAGCAGTTGTAGTAGTAGTAGTAGTAGTAGTAGGAGTAGTTGTCGCAGTCGTAGTCGTAGTAGTAGTAGTAATAATAGTAGTAGCAGTAGTATTAGGAGTAGAAGCAGTAGTAGTAGTATTAGTAGTAGTAGTAATAGTAGTAGTAGTAGTAGTAGTAGTAGTAGTAGTCGTAGTAGTAGTAGTAGTAGTAGTAGTAGTAGTCGCAGGGGTAGTAGCAGTATCAGTGGAAGTAGTAGTCGTAGCCGTGGTCGGTGTAGTAGTAGTGGGCATATCAGGAACACTAATAAGAGTAGCAAAAATAGTAGTAGTAGCAGTAGTAGTGGTGGTCGTAGTAGTAGTGGTAGTAGCAGTAGTAGTAGTCGTAGTCAAAGCCGTAGTACCGTGGTGCACGTGACCCGCTAGACCCTAGGATGTTGGAAAACACACCAAATGTCCCCAGGGGTCCTTAAGCCTACCCACGTCTTGCACAACATAAAATAGCCAAAGAATGTCTGAACAAATGTCGTGGGTGTTGTTGTTTTTTTTGCGTTTTTTGTTGGTTTGTATCAGCGTGACTGAGTGTGCGCGCACGATGACAACATAATGTTATGATCATTGCCAGCGCGGGCACTAGATTCGGAGAAGGACGGTGAAGAAAAGGGACGGGTGAAGGCAGCGGGAAAAGAGTGGACGGACCGAGAAGGAGAAACCAATGTCGAGGGGGGCGACGCGCTCTTTCCGCCCTCGCCCGCGCGCACTGCCTGGCCCCCATTGCTATTCACATAATGAACGACGGGGCAACCAATGCAGGGCGCGCATGAGCGCTCAGGATACATCAGATACCAGACTCGACCGAGGGAGAGACTAACGCAACGAGAACCCTGAAGAGCATCCCACGAGACCCTCATATGCCACCCAAGAGGCCCTGACCCACAGCCGAGGCACAGTGGCGCGTTGTGCCGAATACCACTCTGGATAACCTCCACGGACGTCGCGAGCTCTAACTCCTTCAAGGGGTTAGCCACAAGGCGTAACCCACTTGAATAACGCAATGGGCAGGGATTGGAGGGCAGGTGGGACGGCCGATGCGGCGCGCCAGCTGCAACGGCGGAGGAGCAGGAGCAGGGGCAATAACATGACTCAACAATGATGGGGGAGAGTGAGAGAAAGAGAAAAGGGCACGGGGGCGGATGCTGCAAGGGCCATTTTTCCGACTGAAAGGGCCAAGTGGCCGAGCCACCCCGTGGCTAGAGCAACGCGGCCAGGCGCCACCGAGGAGGGGAGGTGGGGAAGAGTTGCCAAGGCTGCGGAAAGGAGCCAGGCAGAAAGGAGAGCGGGAAGGAGAGAACGAGGCAGGAGGGGCATGATGAGGCGGTCGGGGGCGCGGCGCCTGTCCTGGGAAGCACCTCCTGGGAAGCGCCTCCTGGGAAACACCTCTTGAGAAGCCCATCCTGGGAATCACCTCCTGGGAAGCGCCTCCTGGGAAGCACCTCTTGGGAAGCCTGTCCTGGGAAGCACCTCCTGGGAAGCGCCTCCTGGGAAGCACCTCCTGGGGAGCGCCTCCTGCGAAGCCCCTCCTGGGAATCACCTCCTGAGAAGCCCCTCCTGGGAATCACCTCCTGGGAAGCGCCTCCTGGGAAACGCCTCCTGAGAAGACCCTCAAGGGAATCACCTCCTGGGAAGCGCCTCCTGGGAAACACCTCTGGGGAAGCCTGCCCTGGGCAGCACCTCCTGAGAAGCACTTCCTGAGAGGCATCGCGAAAGGAG